CCCCTCTTTTTACTTTCAATGTCTTGCAGTGGTGGGTGTCTTCCTTTGTTGGGCGCCCCTATGTAGATGTACATTGTATAGCTGTAGATGTAGACACTTACATCTACATTGAACCTCTCTCTACTAGCATCATAAACCAGTATTCTAGTTGTACTGTTAGTATTTTGATTTTAATGCTGGCAATTTTATCACAGTCAGTAGAAATAAGTGGAGTAGTTCAAAAAGAACTGGAAATTATGTTTTGGAAAATAATGTAAGTCCAATGTTTTGAATAAACTTTAATGTCTGCTTTGACCAATGTTGCAGGTCTGACCTCTGTGATATTGGAGAATGAGACATTTCCCCGTGCCCTGCTGTACTGGACAAGAGCTGCATCACAAGGTTTGTCACATTCTCTTGTTATCAAGCAATATGATAGATTATGGAATGTCCATACTTGCTGTTAGCCAATCAGAAGCCTTATATCTAGCTATATCGCATCACCTGATATGGCCAGCTTTATGGCCAAATGTGGGTATAGTAATTTTACCTGTTTGACACGCTTCAGTTTCATATCAGGTTCATTTGGTCTCAATGTGGGTACATGTAATGAAAGTGTACATAATTATATTTTAGTTCAACAAAACTCTCCTTATTTAAGTCCAAAGTGGAGTAAAAAGGTTTGACTGGGTGTAAGAATTGGCATGAATACAGTCAGACTCAAGTTCTGTTGGTATTTGTGTGTGCAGACCACAAATATTCATAGAGAAGTGCGTCATATTTGAAGATACCTCTGACACAAGGTGCCACCAACACTGCATACAAAATGAAGTTTTTGCTAGTCTGGTCTTGAAGCTAACAAGTTAGTTTTTATCCTAAAAAAATATTTTATTTCTTTCATTCCAAGGAAACACAGCAGCAAGAGTTAAAGTTGGTGATTACCATTACTATGGGTATGGAACAGAGGTTGATTATGAAACAGCAGCATTCCACTACAGGCGAGCTTCTGAAGAACAGCACAGTGCACAAGCTATGTTCAATCTGGGCTACATGCATGAGAGAGGACTGGGCATGAGACAGGTAACAGTCTCTCGTTTGCCTTATAAGGCTATAGCTGACTTATTTGACCCCAAGGCTGATTTGTTTGAAAGCCGGTTAATGCTAACCCAGGATTAAAAGTTAATGTAGTATTAATTTTTCTTGTATGAAAATGTTTTTCACTGCTTATGTTTTGTGTAGTTTAAGATTATTTAAACTCAAAACTGAGTGACAAACAATCTGAACAGAAAACGTCACCGAGAAGTTACAAAACTGAAATTAAAATTCTTTGCTAATCCTGGGTTAGCTTAATTGGACTTTGAACAACTCGGCACCGGAGTTTCACTTAACAAAAAAAATGGCTAAGGTACAGCTTGTAAAGACCTCATGTTTTCCACACAAAAAACTTCCAATTGTCTGCTACATTGTACTCATACTTTCTTTGTTTTTGTTTTGTCAGGACATTCATCTTGCTAAACGGTTCTACGATATGGCAGCCCAAACAAATGCTGATGCCCAGGCCCCTGTCTCCCTGGCTCTGTTCAAACTTGGTATCTTTTTCACGTGGGAGTGGATTCAAGAGGTACTTAAACATTCTGCATTCATTGATGTCACGAAACCTGAGGCTGATTGAACTTGTTTGAATTTTTCTAACCTGGAAGGGTGGACCATTTGACTTTTGAGGTTGTGGGGGGGTGGGGAGGGGAGAGGGGGTGATTTTGGAAAAAAAACATCCTGCAAGGATACTTATACCGAAAAAAAAAAAATTTATGCACACAACCACTGCTAAGAAAAAATTCTCACACATTTAGTTGGCCAGAAAAAAGCATGTTACACACAGAAAGAATATCATAAATACACATATCCCGAGAAAAAACAAATTTCTTCTGCATGAAAGGGTTAAAAAAAAATTCATACTTCTATCAAATTACCCACCCCAGCCCCCCTCAAAAGTGAAATGGTCCACCCCTAAAAGGTAGAAACACGTTTTTTTGTAGCGTAATACCACTCTTAAAAAATTTACCCAATAACGCTTTGTTTTTTAATTGGTGTTGGCTTTCAGCCAATCACATCCCACGCTTTCCCCGGGCTATTTTCTAATAATAGTTGTTTTTATTGTTTTGCAGAATTATGGATCACTAAACTTGTCCAAATTCACCAATTTTGTTGGTGACGATTGGGATATTTATGTAATGACTGGACTCGCTCTCTTGCTGGGAATTCTTCTATTGCTTCGGAGGAGACAATAGATCTTTTTTTGTAGATTTTGTACAGCAATCTTATCCAGTATAGACCCTTTTCATAAATGGCTACCAATTACAAATTCTTTTGTAAGTATTAAAATTAGCCTGACTAACCTCGTTCTTGTGTTGATAATTCAAAAGAATTTTTACTCCCAAACGAGTTTAGTGAGACTAATTTAAATGCATACAACAGAATTTTAAATTGGCAGCCATTTATGAAAAGGGTCTATAGCAGTGGCAATTTCTTGGTTTTAAAAATAATAATAAAAACAAACTAAGTTCTTTATAAAATGTCGTCATTTGTTTCTTGTGGCTGTGTTAGAAAATACGCCATATTAATGTAATTTTCTATTAATTTATCACCATCACAGTAAAAGATCATCGATTATGTGAGCACTAGTCGGTCATGTTTTCAGTGAAATCAGCATATACCCTTAGGCTATCGATTTTCTTCATCCGTGAATTTTTAAGTGAAACGATCTGACTCTCTTTTTTTTTTTGGAAAAATCTGACTGTACAGGGTCGGATGGTTCTAAGTCAGACCGTTCCACTCTCCACACTCTCCATGATAAAAGCTCGTGCACGCTTTACGTGCCTATCGTCAATAACCGAAAGTTAATCAAGGCTGAAATAGGTTAAAAAAGCAGTTAAATTGCTGTAACAAAAACTTCTCAGGGTCCAAATTGCAGTTTTTCCTTTTATAATCCAACTTTCAGTGGGGGAACAAGTGTCGGTTAAAGCTGGGTCTCCTTAAGTGGACTTAACCTGAAGTTTTTAGGCAACTGATTGCGCCCTGGAATTGTTTTACTTTTCCAAGAAGTGTTCGCGCTATTTATGCCCTTTTCAATGTTTAAAAAGCTGTAGAGGGTAGCCTGGGCACCAGTAAGCTGTCTTCTCTTTACAAATTTGCTTTGTTGAAATGGCCCGCAGAGTGAGAATGACAAACAGTTAAAAGGCATGATTTCACAAATTTATCGGCCTGCTGCGTACTTTTACTCGTTAGTTGTATTCAACCTCGATCCAATGCTCTCTCTCCTTTGCCTCTCGCTCTCGCCTCAACGACACGGGAAGTAAAGAAGAGAGAGCCAGGGATCGAGGTTGATTTGAATTTTGACTCGCACAGTACTCGCCAAAACACCGCATACTTTCATATGCGGCGTGAATTAATGCGCGTAAATAATTCCTGGATAACAAATTAAAGAGAACGTATCGACGTCTGCGGAAATTGTTTTACAGGAATTAGCCATTCATACATTTTCTACATCTATTTTCTGACTTAAAATTACCCGTCAGTCGAAATCCAAAGAAATGTTCCATTTAAAAAGCCGTCAACATTCATCACAAGTCAGGAAGCTATGGTAACCAAGAATTTGTTATCACAATCTCTTCTCCCAATTGCCAACAATCGTAAAACAATTCGGTGTGAGCGAAGACTTTCTCACAGTTGATGTGAATTTTAATTGCCTATTTAACGACGTCTCAAGGGACAATACATGTGGGGTAACAAGGTGAACCTGTATCTTTCATCGATCGAGTCACTTCAGGTAAATCCATGGTTTCTAGTTATATCTCTCTTCTCTTAACTGTTTATTCGTCACTGATTTACTGCAGTTTAGCCGTCGTTTTAATTTTTGCCCGTTTAATGGTTTAGCTGATAATCACTGCGGTTGTGAAGGTTTCAGCCGCGGTGTTCATCAGTGACGCCCAAGAGACGCCATAATGAAAGCGCTGTTCAATAGGTAAGTTGATGAAATACTGATTTAATAATAAATAACCTTTCTCGCTCGTAAGCAATCCAAAAAGATTCTGTCCAGTTAAAGCGTTTCTTACGAATATTCAATGTTGAGCTTGTTTCAACTGCAAGTTATGCCTTTTCGCTCGTAATTTTGTAACCCTTCCGTTCCCGGTTCGGAGCGCTACGGTGTATATATTCTCCCTTGCCAGTTCCCTAATTTATGTCCAATATATTTTTAAAGTTTTAAAATGACGCCATAAACTTCCATAGCTATTACGATGGTTATTCTTCAGGCTTAAAGAAAGTTGTTGTTTAGAAACTGTTGCAACAAATTCATTTATTTTGCGGACCAAACTTTATAAAAAGCAAAGACTGAATAGTGTCTGCGATGAATGACCTTTGAAATTTAGCCAGGGAAGCGAAATTGCCTCACCTCAAGTTTGCGCTTTGTTAAGAAACGAAAGGTGCCTATGATAAATCAGTTTCGGTATGACTACCTGACTTCTTACCCACCGACAAACATACTTCAAGGCTATCATAATTATTGACGTTTTTCTTGTTCTCAGTTCCTATGGCAAGAAATCAAGAGATATGTCCAAAGAAATTGCATTATTTTCGAGAGGTGTTCAGTGCAAATGTGGTCAACGTTGTTAGGCCATCCTAGCCGGCCTTCGTAATGGAAACAACTTCATTTTTCAGATAAGTTTATCACAGAATTTCACAGATTTGTCGTTTTTGTCGATATTAGTGCTCGAGTCTAGCTTGTTGATAAACTTCCAATTTACAAAATCGTTGATTGCATTACTGCTAACCTTGAATGAATGAACAGCTTACACTAAATTCAGTGAATTCAATGACACTTTGAAAGTTGATTTACAGGACAAAATTCAAAAACATCTATGGTTTATATTACAAGCTGTAAAATTGTACAGTTAATTCTAATGGGTACATTCTTCTTACAAAGTTTTGCTCAATTTAAGTCGAAAGACAAAATCCCTCAGCTTTCACTTGAGCTGTTGCTTTAGAAATAAGAGAAAGTCACTGCAACTTGTTTCTATTAGTTTCTGAACATCGGCACATCATAACTGAAAATGCGGCTGAGTTTCATGATAAAAAATAATTTGATAGTTTATTGATGTTTCTTCTTTTTTTCCCAGGTTAGACATCCTTTAAAAAGAAGGTACCGCCATCTTGGATTGCAGTGCGTAGCTCTTGGAATCTGGCGTATATTAGTCGACTATTGGAAACATCTCTTTTCAGATAAGTACTTCTCATTCCATTTACAATTCCACTATTTCTGGCAGCGAGTGATCAAATTGTTATGTCTTCTTGCAACATCGTAATATCAGGTCTATTTACATAACACCGAGTAATAGAAGAGAATGGTTAGGAGGCCCGGCAAACTTTAGTTGCGAAGAAACGAACAAAGATGCCAAGATTTATGTTCGAAGCTCTAAGACTGTACTCAAACAATTAGTTTTGGGCTCATATAGTAATCATGAATTAGGTTCATTGTACGCATATGACAACTAATTTATTACCTTCTGACACCTAAGTTATCAACATTTTTCTTGTTTTTATTCACAAGATAACAATTTCAACAAAATTGCAGTCTTTCAAAGAGCTGATTATGTTCAGCTTTGGAGCCAGTCACCAGTTAGCAAGTGTTTTCCGACGTTGTTATTCCATCCTAGCCGGCCTCTTCGTGAGGAGCTGTGAAGGGTACAGCTTCATTTTCAGATAAGTTAATCACAGTATTTGCAGATTTTTTAAATTTGTCGATTTTGGTGCACGAGCACTTGCTGACAAGTGAATGAGTCTGGAACTGCTCATTACTGCTGAACTGTTGACAAATGCCTAGCTTACTCTAAGTTAAATGGCACCTTGAAAGTGGATCAGAACCAAACCTTTTCGTAAAAAGTCGACAAAACAAAGAAAGGCATGTTGAAAAGAATGCTTACATTTGAGGGACGCTTTTGGATTGCACTGTGTTGCTTTTGGACGCAAGCACAAGTTGACACTAGAAACATCTCATTTCAGATAAGGTCACCATCAGTTTCTATAATATGGTGTTTGGGTATGAAGTCAAAGCCAAACTGGCAGATGTTTTTCTTATTTTTATCGAAAATATATATATTATTGCGCTGTTTCCATCACGTATTGACACAGTACTGAAACCAGAGCTAAAATTGTTCGTAAAAGCTTGATTTGAGAGATCGATAAATAGTTAAACTAAGCTCGGTGAGGTCTCTTTTTCTTCCTGCAAATTGAATACAGATATTTTGAAAGAACGTGCAGCCATTATGGATTGCAGTGTGCAGCCTTTGGACCCTGGCGATTGGCATTTTTGGAAGCACGTCATTTCAGATAAGTCTATCATATTTTAGTTCCTTTTTCTTTCGTCGTTTACACAAACAGGTTTCAGTCCAAGTGATGAAAATATTAAATCTCCTTACCATATACACTGTCAACCAGCGAAATTTTATGATTTAAAATAAATGAAATAATTTTTTTACAGCCAATCTCTCAGCTATCAATCAATGAATTTTCCAGATCGCAGACCTCAGTTATCACTTTCACAAACTCGTCATTTTGGGCTGACAGTTATTTCAACCAATCCTCGGGTATGAGTTAAATTTTTTATTAAAATCTCATCCTTTCCATCGGTAAACCAGATGCTTACTTGATCGTAAAACTCTGTAGAATACAATTTTTTGCGAGAAGAATTTTACAAACAAGAGAACAAGCCATGCAAACGATGCAATGGAGAAACCAACTTGTCACTACTTGCATTGACGAGAAGTCAATGCTAACAAAAGAGAACACGCCGTTTCAAACCAATTTGCATGAGAGAACTGTAAAAAAAACAGGAATTGCAGTGAAGTGCAGGTAAACAATAGGGAGTTTACGAAACCACGACAGCAACGGCAACGGGAACGTCACTGAACAAAAGAATTAATGAGCAGACAATGGCTGTGCACGTGCTTTATAATCCTTGGTACTTTTCTTTGCCGTTCTCTGCAAGACAACAACGTGAAATGACAAAATTTGGGGTTGTCTAGAGAACGTGAACCACTACGGCTAATGTTTTAAATTTTTATTTCAAATTTATCGCTGTGTTCCGGAGTTAGTTTTGCGGTAGTTTTAACAATGATAAACAAAGCAAATGACTTTAGAGTATCGCGAGATTCGTATAATATAAATTCATTTTTTAATCGACGTTGTCCTCGGCGTCGCCGTCGTGGTTTCGTAAACTCCCTAATATGGATCGATAACGCAGCTTTAAGTAACACAAGCTGTGAAACAAAAGTAAAATTTGAGAGATTTCACTGACATAATAATAACTGTACCTATAACGGTTCGTTTTCCGCTGATCTAGAAGCA